TCCAAAACCTGCTTCGAGTTCTTTAACCAGTCAATGGAGTTTTCCCTGTCAATCAAGTCTCTCAATTGCAGTTCACATCTTCTTTCCCTTTCGCGCACGTCGCTCTGTAACTGTAAAACTTGTTCTTTGTTTTTTCTATTCTCTGCTTGTAAAGTGGCATATTCGTTTTTGAAGTGGTCCCTGTCTTTGGTTATGTTCACTATTTGGGATTCACTTGAACTAACTTTCAAAAGAAGACTACTGATTTCTTGTTCCATKGAACCTTTTCCATCTCGTATCCTTCGCAGCTCCTTATCGCTTTCTTCGATCTTTGCCTGCATAGAGACTAACCTCTTCTCGAGCTCCTTCTTATCTGCACCAAGTCCCTCAGATCCAACTTTAAACGTTATAAGATCCTGAGTATTGTTGTTCAAGTCATTTTTCAAAGATTTCATTTCTTCGTTGAGCTCAGTGATCATATTATCTTTCTTGCTCAATGCCTTTGACATGGTTTCATTTATTTTTCGTGCTTCCATTGACTGACTTTCAAGCAACATGATYTTTTCTTTGTTGTCGATCAGTTTTTTATTAGCCTCATCAAGTTGATCTTTGATTTGAAGTTTGTGTTTCTGCAATGTCTCCATTTGAGATTCAAGTTTTGCAATTCGACCACGAACAGTGTAAAGCTCATCATCTGCAGATTCTTTGTTTCTGACGGCATTTTCTACTTCAGCTTCGATGTCAGTTAACTTTGYTTCAATGAGGACAATTTTCTGTGTCTTCTCTGCGTTATCATTCATCAGTCGTTCGATTTCAAGCTTTTGAGCTGTAAGTTTCTGCTCGGAATCTTCAACCTCAACTTCAAGTTCTTCTTTGTCTTTCCTGGCCATGTCACAAAGTGATTCTAATTCTGCAATCTTTTTACGGTAGTTAGAGGCATCCCGCTGCAGGTCACTCACTTTACCTTTCGTTGTCTCGAGCTCACGCCGACTGCTGGCTTCAACATCTCGTTTATGAGAACTCTCTGCCGAGTTCATCCTTTTGACAGCTAAGTGGTGATTTAACTCTAAGTGTTCTTTCTCTTTATTTGTCGTATCGAGTATTTCTTCAAGTCTTGACAACTCGTTGTTCTGCAACGCTAATTCCTCCTGTAGTTGTCTTTTCTCTTCTTCAAAGCTTTCTATAAGACTTCTTTCGTGAGAAAGGTCRGCTTTCGAGTTGTTAAGGTCTTTGTTTAGTACCATAACCTCGTCACGCAATTGTTCTATGATGGCGTCTTTCTCAGTCACTTCCCTCTTTAACTCTTCATAAATCATTTGCGTTTCGACTAACTGCATTTTTATGGTATCAACGTTGTCTAAGCTTGAACGTGAGTCACCTTCATAATTCGTTAATCGTTCCTGAAGTAAAGCCTTCTCAGTTAACAGTTCTCTAGATTCCTTTTCCAGTCTCTCTATCTTCTGCTCAAGCACCATCAACTGTCCTTGGTAGTCACTTTTAACTTTATCACATAGTGAATGTGCGGCTTGAAGCTCAGTGATCTTTTTGTGATAGCCATGAATTTCTGAGTTAGCAATRTCTCTCTCCTCATTGGCAACYTTGCAATCTCCTTCGATCTCCATCAGCTGTTGCTGTAGTCTGAGCATTTCTTCATGCATGTTGTCTTTTTCATCCTGAACAATATCAAGCTGAGTCTGCAATTTATTGTTTTCATCATAAAAAGGATCAAATTTCCCTTCCATCGCTCCTATATGCGCTCTCAAGTCAGCTATGGTTTTCTCCTTGGACGCCGCATCTTTTTTGTAACGTTCCAGGGCACGTTTYGCTTCTGTAGCCTCACTTTGGGCAGYTGTATTGTCTCTTTTGAGTTTTGCTGTTTTAGCTTTCTCTTCATCAAGTTCTGCTTTAATCACGCTCTTTTGCCTGTTCGTTGCGTTCACCTGATTCTCAAGTTTGGAATTTTGTGCGTTTAGTCTGGCAATTCTCGTTTCAAGTTCTTCGGTATCTTTCTCGCCTCTCTGAACCGAGGATTTCATGTCGTTAAGTTTCTTCTCGGCATGCTCAAGACGACTTTTTAGGTCATCACGTTCATGAACCAGACTATCACACTCGTCTTCAAGCTTCATAAACTCTTTGGAAAGGTTATCSAGTCGTTCCTGTAGATCGTCGGCTTCATTACACGTGTGGTTGTACTGATTTTCGAGTTGTGTACACTTGTTGCGAAGCGTGAAGATTGTATTCTCCAGGTCTCCAATTTTTATACGCAAACGCGCCGCTTGTTGGTCAGCTTCGTTGGCTCTTTCGTTTGCCTTGTCGCAGCTCACCTCCAGAGTAGAGATCCTGATTCGTGCGGTAACAATTTCTTTCTCCTGGTCATCTTTTATGGCAGTCAAGTTTTCACAAGCTTCTTCCATGTCTCGCAACCTGGATTCGACGTCAGTCAAGCTTCTCTCTAATGCGTCTTTTTGTTTGGTACTTATTTCTGTAGAAACTTGTGTTTTGGAGAAGTTTTGCTTCAATGAATCTATTCGATTCTCTAAGCCTTTGTTGACGTTCTCAAGTTTCTCGTTTTGTTGAGCTTTCGCTGACAATTCACTTCGTATAAGATCAAAATCTTTCTGGTTTTCCAGCATGTCTCTTTGAAGTAAACTATAAGCTTCTTTACTTCGCTTCAATTCATCTCTCAAGTTCTCAACTTGTACTTTAAGGGCATTCCGTTGCTTGGTCACATTGTTGACTTGTGCTTCGTACTTTGTCACCTTTAACGATGTTCCTTTAGTTTCTTTCTGTAGTTCTCTTTGAAGTTTGTCGTACTCCGCTTGTAAATCGTTGAACTTTGTTTGGTGATGAAGTAGTTCTTCTTGAATATCTTCTTTTTCTTTTTGAGCGACGTGATAATTTGACTCCCATTCAACAATTTGTTCACGAACACTSGACAGTTCCACATCACTGCCTTGCTTTTCCAGAGCAGTTGACACAAACTTCTTACTTGATTCTAATTCTCGCTTCAATCTTTCGTTTTCATTCAGAAATTCCGCCTTTTCGCTTCGTAGTTTTTTTATCACATCTGTTTTGCTTTGAAGATCTTTGTCCAATGCTTCCAGCTCCCATTCTTTTTCGGCAAGTTTTCGTTGCACGCGAGCAAATTCCTCTTGAAACTTTTTAGAATCAGATCTAGATTCCTTCAGCTGAGCGTGCAACTGAGCTTTTTGTCGGAGCAGCGTTTCTACTTGTGCTTGCAGTCTTTCAACCTGGACAAATTTTTTGATTTAGTAATGATTTGAGCCTCAATCGAAGTCAGTAATGTTTTCAGCCTGCCACAGGTTACTACAGGTACACAACAAACTGACAGGTTTTATCTCAMCGCGTATGAATCAAAAGCGAAAAGGAGTTTCACGAAGCGTTCGTAAAGTTCCGAGTAAATATTTAGTATTTATCGTAAGTTATGTTTAAATCAAGTTTGCTCTCAAAATAAACAAAACTTGACACATTCTCTGTGTGTGCAATGACTTGCTTGTCAAGTACTTTTACAAATACACACTTCTAGCCGTCTAACGCGACCCAGGAACTTGTCAAGAAAAATTCTTGTGTTTCTACAGCGGGTTTTTATGAATAGAAAACCTGTCCTTACTTAAAACATTATAAAATCATTTATATTTTTATAATTTGAACAGAACGCAAATCTTCGGGCACTTAATTAGTTTTATATACGAACGATTTGTTAATCAAATATACAGAGAAAATCAACAGTTATCAAAACAGAAATCATTAACAACATTGAAAATCATACTTTCGCTAACTTGAATTATTCTTTATGTTTAATCAATAATACAATTATATATAGTATATGTAACTATATTAAGCTATAGATTTACTGCACTATCCAATTTCAAATCAGAGAACTTTGAAAAATCAAAGCGTCCACAGGTATGCTAATTACTCATCAACAACAATTGCGAAACTATTTGTTGGAAAACTTTACTTGCAAATGAAATAAACTCAAAATAAGGAACACTTACCTCAGACTTGTGTTCGCCTTTCACAGATTCAAGTTCAAACTTAAATTTCCTGTAGGCTGACTCCAAATCATCAAACGTTTCTCGAGCATTAGCAATCTGTGCCATCGAAACATCATCGTTTGAATCTTGCACGAACGAATTCAAAGTCGACGCGCGGGAACTTTCCATCCTGGATGAACAATACAACGAGGTCTCCGTACCTCGGGTTTTTTTCGCAACAAATGTCCTTTAAATATTGATTTTTCGTTACCAATTGAGTACAGTTTACGGCTAAATCCTTCAGTGTGACTTCACTCTAACGCTAAGTACAATTCCCTAGAGGCTGGCCGCAAAAGCTTGGAGGTACTTTTGTTGTGACACGATTGGCCAATGGGAGTGAAGTAATTGAAAAACTATGCAATACAAAGTGTTGAATCGGTCTTACTTATTTTGTGTTTCGGCCAATAATCATCTCGAAAATTCCTTCTACAGACACGACAAACTTGCGGTTGCTGTGTGTTTTTAATACGAAATCTTCTTAAAAATGCAGATGAATTGAAAAAGCTAAACAAAGGTAAAGACAAAAAACAAGTGCATATTTTTGTTGATACCTTGAGTGGTCTCGAGTTAACTGCTTTGTGTATAACACAGAACTTATATATAATCTCAAAATCTAATCAAAATTCAACTCTTTTGTGCAATAATGGAGTGCATTATCACTTTGGTTTCAATGGTCTACCAACATGCTATGTTACCATAATTGCTTSATTGTGCGACTGTTTATTTGACAAATTTAACGAAGTCTACCAACACTTATAATGTGTCTAGAGTTCGAAGGCACGTGGCGACATCGTAACTATTGTGACTGTATTCTACCATTAAAATATTAAAAAGGATTTTAGATGGAAATCTATAAACTTTAAAGAGTTCCTTTGCGTTTTGTTTTGAGGACACATCTGAGTATTTCAGTAATAATGCTGGAAATACTGAAACTGGCTGGAAACGCGAAGACGAGGGAAGTAGATCTTATTGTTTTCAGACCAAATAATATTCAACTTTCGGATTTTACTTTTCAAAATGCCTACAGAATACATACTTGAAATGTACACTTTGTAATGATTTCCTTTTCTGACTCAGTTTTCTAGAAGGTGAAATGCTCATAAATAACGCGCCGCTTCTACGTAGATATCCCGCTAGTTCTCATAACAAATCATACAGAAAAACCTTTTCCATTCAATCACGCATGTTCACGCGAATAACCATAAGCAGGTCGGCACAATAAAAATCAGGGGACAAATGGTCTGGTATTTGGTGGCTGTTAGACATGTCACGCACTGGGGGGACTGGTGAAGAAGGCGCGAAATTTCTAAAACACGTGACAGTAAAACGACAACATGGCTGCTGGGTCGACAAGTTCTGTCTCGAAAGTACGTCAAATATTGAATTTCTATAAATGATTACGCTTTAAAAGTAAAGTGGAAATTTAAATCAAATTATTTTATTTCAGGGATGCTTTCTTTTTAAAAGAGATATCTCCATATCACCAAGGAAAAGACGATACACCAATGCTACAGGCAAGTGGTGCTGATATACCGGGATCTTTTGCTCAAATGTGCAAACAAGCGACGAGTTTTAATCCATTGGAATTTGCAGCTCAACATAAAGTCTTGTATATTACGCCTGAAGGAAGCTTCTCATTTTTGTTTTAGATCTTATTGATCAGTTTGAGGGCGAAAGTGATGAGAACGTCTCCCAAAGGTACGAGAATTTCAGGTTTTACTGGAAGCAAGCACTTACCAAAATTGAGGTAATTCCCATCTTACTTGTATTTCTAAGTCTACTATTAGAATATCTAAGTATGTACCATTGTTTGCATGAAGCTAATAGAAACTTCATAGCTGCAAAGCCAGCGATGCGACTCGCGCTACCCTTGTTTCTGCTTTTTGTACAATTTGTATAATGCTGTCTCTATTCTTACCTTGTTAGGAGCTTCAATCAGACAGTAAAATATTCAGTCAAATAGTTGAATATATCAAAAGAGCACACACCAAGACTAACGAGAAACATGGCGTTATAAGTGAAATCCCCACAGCTGTCTTGATAACGGGTAAGTGACGTTCCACAGGAAGCCCAACATATTTATTAGTGACGTCATGATTTCCCTTAAATGTTGTTATTATTCTGTTTATGTTTTGTTATGGGTGGTGTTCAACTGTAATGAAGTGGTTCTAAGCTGATTTTGAAGGATTTGTTTGAGCAGGCAGCTCTATTATTATRTCCAGACTTAGATGTGAACACTTTCCACACTATAATTTGAATATTCTATAGATTATATRACAGGATTCATTATTACTATTTCTAGGTGTGAACATGCCTGACCATGACATTATATTCAATCAGTTGGCTAAAGATTTATTGGATATCACTCCTTATATAGCAGTGTTGCACTCTAAGGACTGCTCTTGTAAGTAAAAAGACAACAATGCTGATATATCCCTGATACACTATTCACTGATGCTAAATCATTTATATCTTTGACAGCAATAAAGTTTATGCTCAAGAATTTGATTTTAMAATTTATGAACTGTGATGAAGAGGTATGACTTCTGTTGCTTTAAGTGCAATCTCTTGATAAACAATCATAATACTAGATAGTAAATTCAGATTTCATCCACCAAGATAGAATCTATTCCACCAATTAAATACTATTTGAATTGCTGACAGGATGATGAAGGTGATGAAAGTGCAGCAACTAGTCACAAACAAAGGTTACATTCCTACACAATGGCACAATTCAGTAGCTGGTATAAAGCCAAATGTCAGGTAATTACTGTGTGAATGACATAAACATTTTTTGAAGAACAATGATTGTTAACACATTCAAATGTTGTAGATGGGTGAATCACCAACAAAAAGTACAAGCACAAAGAAGACACCAAAGAAAAAAACATCAGTTACACCCACATCAGGTAGATGATACAACTATAAAAGTCCTTTAAATCTTACTTATTTATAAGAGAATGTTAGACAGTTACACAGATTTTCTCATTTCATCAGATTATCCTCCACTTGTTATGATATTTGAGGACTTTGAAGGCTTCCAACCAACTGTTGTGCAAGACTTTGTGACTATCTGCAAGTAATGTATCGGGATTCTAACCATTTTTGCAAACAATTACACAATGTATTCTCAAAGGTAGAGATGCCTTCTTAATAAATATATGAATAATTATTATTGTTTAATATAGTTTGCAATAATTGTTTACTCTTACACTGTTCTATAATGTTGATCACACAGTCAATACTGCCAAGATATACCTTTAGCACTAGTATTTGGAGTGGCTACTTCTGTATCTGCTGTACATCAAGCTCTTCCTCACAGTGTTTCTACTCTTCTTTCAATTGAACGGTTCCAGTCACAACCATCATTTACCTGTCTTATTGAAATCATATCTAAGGTAAAGTTAGCTTAAAAAAGTATTAGATGTACACTAATGAAGGGCCAGTCTGTGGTAGTTTTATATTTTTTTTGCATATTGTAATAGCATGCACTTTCTTGTTTTCTGTGTAGGTCTTAATGACTGCTAAGCTGCCATTTAAACTTGGTGCCAAAGTMTTTCGATTTCTTTATGAGAATTTCTTATTCCATGATTTTTCTCTTCAAAACTTCAGCACAGGACTTCAGGTTAGCRATAATATATTGCCAAAGGAGATGGTAGAGTTCTATGATGGGTTTATTGTATCCTTGTTTCCCATGCTTATAATCATGTGGAAGCATTATATAACAGTAATAAGAAAGTAACATACTTATTTTACAATATGATAATTATGGATCATTAATACTAACTTGCTACCTCATATATTCTCTTGTTAGTTCTGTATGATGGAGCACTTTTATGAAAACCCTGCAAGTGTACTCTGCTGTGATCCTGAAGAAAGAACAAATCTTGTCAATAACCTTAACCATGAAGATGTAGAGATTTTCCGTAGAAGGCCATCATTTAGAAAGTAAGATGATACAAGAAGACTAAACAAACTGCTAAACTAAAAAACTATAAAAAGTTGTTTTGTTTTCACATTAAGCTGATATTATTATAGCTGCTAATGATTGAGATTGGGTAGAAAGACTTACTTTATTTTCTATTAACATTTAGATTTGTAGAGAGAAGTGAGCCAGAAGAAATAATGAAATTGCTCCAAGATGATGATTATACCAAGGTATGTTGTACAACTTACATGCATGTATCAGTCAGGATTCAATTTTCATTATTAATTATTGTTTTGTATATTTTGTATTATACAGAATGTAATAGAGAATCTTCTCAATGACCTTGATGAATATCATTGGTATTTCTTTCCTGTACTTGAATGCCTACATGCAATGACCGCCAATTTACCAAAACATCCACTAGGTAGAAAAGTAAGTAGAATTAACCATAAAATGAAGGCCTTTTCATATTCACCAAATATTATTGAGATTTTCGAAACTCTGTTTACGATTGAAACTCTCATCATAGTAAGATTTGGATTTTTATTGTTTATTTTCAAGGTGCGAGATGTCTATGAGTGTTGTTTATCAAGTCCTGTGATTGACCAGGATATTTATAAAGAATGCATGTCACTATTAAGGTATCATTTCATGGATTTATGGTTGTCTAGATATCTTTTTGAAATGCATTTGGTCCTCCTAATGCCATGTTTCGTTAATTTTGTTKAGGATTTACTCTAAAGATGAGCTAGTGCCACTGCTAGAAAAGTGTRTTGACATCATATCACAAGTAGTCARTGATACACATTCAAAACAGTAAGTAATTTAAGCCACAGTGTATTGATTGTTGTACAACAATGATGTCAATGATTGAGTTATTGTATGTTTTCAAGGTTTTGCAAAGATTTAGAGGAACCAAGAAATCAACTATGCTCCTTTGTGGAACAATTTGCAACTATTGGAGGTACATTTTACACCGTTCTTTTACACACATTGTGTCTATTATACTGATGTTCAAATGGTCACATTATCGTTTCTTTTGTCAAATCTCTCTGCAGAAAGACCAAATGAGCAATCTTCTGCTTCATCATCAAATCCACACAAAGGGAAAACATCAAAAATTATCAGCAGATTTGAGTTACAAGAGGTGATTTTATAGAGCTTTGTATTCATTGGTGATTCTGTTAGTCATTGTTTATTTATTCTTTGCAGAAATTAAAAACTGCAGCACAACAGAAACGAAAGGATACCCCGTTTGATCAATTAAGACAAGARGTGGTTAACTATCTAGAGGAATTATTTAGGTAATGATGATATTCCTATTTTCAAAACCTTAATAGTTTAGTTACTTAATATGTAAGTTTCTTGTTTTCTTGATTAGGAAATATTTGAGATGTCCCACCACCCTGCCTCTTCATGAAGTTTTCTATTTCAACTCTATCCAATCAGTGAAACAGGTGGGAAGTATAGCATGTGTGTATGGTTTCTTTGCAAAGTCTACATTAAGTGAAAATTAGAATATAGTTAATGACCACTCCATTGTTTCCTATTACTGTTATTGGACTGTATAAATTAGGTATGTTTTATAATTATAATGTCTGTTTTTAGCACCTTATAGGCATGCCCAGAGTTGCCATACAGACTGCATTAACCAACCCTCACCATTACCTAAAGGTTAGTTTATAAAACATRATTTTCTGCAGTTACAGTTAAAGTTCCTGTTCARAGTGTGAAAAGCTTTTCTTACTTTCAGTGCGAGTGTTGTGAAATAGAGTCAGGGACCATTCAAGATTCATTACCCGATGTGTCAATAGCCTACAAGCTTCATTTAGAATGTGGAAGGYTAATTAACTTATATGACTGGCTGCAGGTTTGTGACTTAAAAACAGTTTTTACTGAGGAATATCATTTGCATCTAATTACTAGGTAAATAAACTAATTATTGTAATAATTGTCTTAGGCATTCAGYGTAGTTTTGGACCCCGAATCAAATAATTCCAAGAAAATGACAAAGAAAAAGAAAAAATCTAATGAAGAACTGCAGTATCCTTTTATCTCACAAAATAGTTTACTAGTTTCWAATATTTATCTCTTCTGTTTGCTTTTTKGGAGTWAAGAGAAAACACAGCATCAGCTTGAAGCAAAGAAATAGTTTGGATTAAWAATGTTTTGAGAATATTTTGTCCTTGACACTATGCCAGAGCACGCTTCATCCAAGCTGTGTCAGTTTTACAATTCTTAGGTTTTGTAAAATCAACCAAAAGAAAGACAGATCATGTACAAAGACTCACTTGGGGTGGATGTTGATGAACTAAAATTAATATAATTATGTGAGAAGTTATTTAGAAAAGAAGTATCAAAGGTGCCTGATATAGKTGAAAGAATTACAACTTTTATTTATAAATATAATGTTAAAAAGATAAGCTACACCTGTAAGACTTGACATGAATCTTCATATAGATCTACAAATGTTAATGACATCTCATTGGAAAACTTGTATTAAAAAATAAAAATGTTTTTGTTTATGTCAAAGTCACATGACTGTCTTTATTTCAACCAATTTTGATCTTTTTTCTGGAGCTTCTACTTGTACTTTCAACATCACTTTCCTGGAAACAAGACATATTATTAGACTTTACTCATCACTCACACCTAAAATTCCCCCCCCCCCCCCCCCCCCATCCTATTCAACAATGAACTACCGGTATATGTTTTGGAAATGACAATAGGCAAATGTATATAATATCAATATACCTCTTTAGATGTTAGTTTGGTGTCATTCAGTTGATTGTGTAATTTCATTGCTTGTTCATAGTTGAATTTTAATGTGTCTTTGAGCCCTATTAAAGAAACAAAATGTTTTTTTTTTTGGATACATGAAAATGGAATATAAACATGCAATAATGCTTTTACTTACCTAATCCTGATTGACAGGTTGAATTCAKATTGTCCAGGTATGTCTTGCACTCTACAATCTAACAAAGGACACAGTCACACAAAGCCATATCCTATGGTTATTATTTTGCTGAGACTTACAGATTTTGGGTTGAATTAAATGCAGTTATAACAACAAAAGCCAAATACCTTTGATTCCATCACATCCAGCTCTTTCATTTCATGTTTCAATGCTGTGTTGACRTACTTGGCCTGTTGAAAGATAAACGACATGAACAACATGATGCACAAGAAATCCAATCAACAAATCCTCTACTTACAGCTTTTATTTTCCTTTGTATTTCTAGTAATTCATGATCAATTTTGACTTCATCTTCTTTAGAGTAATTTTGACTCTCATGAATCTGTAGTTAAAACATTTTTAGTAAACCAMAGATAACTGAAGGCATGGRTACAAAGTGTTTGTTCATGTGGGAATACTTTTTGCACCTTYGACAGCTGGTGTAAATCTACTRMCGACCTARTGAAATKTACGAGTGCAATGCTATTATCTGAGAAGGTGATATACTGATTTATAACCATGGTCAAAACAAAGATAGAACTGTTGCCTTGACTTTTTGKAGACCCTGAGTGKTGGTATGGCATGGGTGTGAACCTKACCTCTMTMYYSC